GCCAAACCACCACGTAAAAAACTAAAATATAAACTACATCAATATCACTATGAGACCTCATTTACCAGTGGCAAAGTATAGTGATAGGTTTTTACCCTTTCAACTGGTACAGAAACTGACACCTTTATACAAGGCATAGTGCGCTGTTTTTGAGTTGTACGCCTTTTGGCGTCATCTGGTCCAACACCAATGGAAACTAGGCTCTAAGAAAAGCTGTCTCGGGTGTGGACCAATCAACTTCAATGACAGTGCATATCATTATCATTATCAGAGGTGTTTCTTTTTTGTTTGCATTTTGACTGGTTGTGTTGTGGTTATTGCAAACGTGATGCCTTGTATAAAGGTGTCAGTTTTTGTACCAGTTGAAAGGGTAAAATCCTATCACTACATCAATATCATCAATATACTCAATATACTCTCCAATAAGCTGAGCTACTAACAGTAAGTCATACATTACACTTCTATGTCGCAAAACATATAATATGCCTCCAGCTAAACTGTTTTCTTACATCACACGGATATACCCCGTACTATACACTGCCATAGACAAACCCAACATTAAATTATACACTGCGTTACTATACACCACCCTGTACTTTTTCGATTTAAAGCTTTCGTGACTGCAGGGATTCATATTCTTGGTTCTTTCGGTAAAGTCACGTAGAAGGGAAGTAATAAAATAATAAAAATAAAACATAAAATAATTCTCACGACGTTTCGGCCACAACGCAAGCAGCCGTCCTCAGGTGAAAACCAGGTCTGTCGAGGCGACAGCGTCTGAATGAAACAGCACACGTGCTAGGAGCATATATATAAGCTGGGTTGGAAGGGGGGGAAAGGGCGCCTTGACAAAATAATTTTCATATCAAGAGGAATTTAGCATATTTATGGGAAATGCAGGTATGTGATCAGTACAACTTAGACTATACATTGTAATATTACACTATGTATTATTCTACACACCCTACTGTATACCACACTGCCGTATATTCACTATACAATTACAATACTATATATTACCTTATACATTATATTAAACATTACACTTTTATACTATTTATTATTATACAATCTGCTATACACTATACCATTGACCGTCGCGTGAAAGGTACTAAGAGGAAGCAACGAAATATGTCAATTGGAGAGTGGTAGCAGAAGACTTGCAGCGGAGCAAATACTCCATTCCCTGAGGAGAATACAAAAGATATATAGTCAATGCCAGCGAGTGGACTGCGGTCTGAAAGTCACCGTAAACGTGAACACAATCAGTTAAGACCCGAAATGGTTTATCACGTCCTTCCAATGATTGCTGAGCCAGAATCCATCTTCTCGGTTGAAATTGTCTCTGTGTTTGTATATGTGGATCGCCTCATAAACGAATCTCTCATGGTAACCAGGTGGCTTGCAGAGAACCTCTGTCTTGGAGAAGTCAATGTCATGTGAGCCCACTGAATTATAACAGTGATCTGCCACAGCTGAGGTGTTCGTCCTACCGTGTTTCAGGTCTGCTTTATGTTCACAGATGCGGTCCGAGACATGTCGTTTGGTTTCTCCAATGTAACTGCTACCACAGAGGAAACTTAGTTTGTAGACGCCAGGGTACTGTATGTCTGGAACCACATCTTTTACAGACGGGACCAGATCACGGATTTTATGTACTGTGTTGAATCGGACCTGGATCTTGTGTTTATTCAGGATTTTGGTGATCTTTTTTGTGACCCCCGCAATGTAGGGTAAGATGATGGTTTTCAATGGCTCCTCAACCGGATCCTTCTTGATGGTTGGAGTGATGGCTTTGCGGATTGTGTAGTCGGAGTAACCTTTAGCCTTAAGAGCTTGGCGTACGTGCTTGAGTTCACTGGCAATGTGTTCCTGGTCGGAGATGCATTGGGCTCTATGGTGTAGAGTCTTGATGAGGGAATTCTTCTGGGATGGATGGTGGTGGGAATCCGGTTTTAGGTAAGCATCCGTATGGGTAGCTTTCCTGTAGTGGCTCATTGAACCATCAGGTCTCCTTTTAATTAGGACATCCAAAAAGGGTAGCTTGCCATCTTTTTCGCCATGGAAGTCGAAAAAGATGGCAAGCTACCTCTCTGCACCATACAGGTGTGTATGAATCACAACAACATTGTAGACCACTAATTTGGTGGTCGTTTTTATGTTGTGGTCATTAGACGACCGAAGGTTGCGCTAGCATTAGCAATACGATGTTAAATCTCCTCGTCGATGTCTACTTTGTGTGATAGCTATCTGCCAAGATATGTTCTCTAATAAGGTATCCTGGACCCTGATTGAAGGTATAGGTGAATGCTAGGAGTCGGTTGACATCGTACTTTTGTTTTTATGCTGTTGAGTGCAATTTGCTTTGGCAAAGACATCAACAATTACCTGAAGATCAGATTCCGTACAGGCACCGACTTCTGTGTCATCTGCGTATTGCAGCTCCACTCGGGATGTGACCATGATTTAAGATTTCTGATTAAACAGCTGAGATCAAACCGTTTCCCGTCCATCCAGCGGGTTAGTTGCACTCCAACAGGGAGTCTGCTAAGATCAATTATTATTGCAGAAAGATGGAAAAGCGTGTTGAGGTAATCACACATCCTCGTTTCACGCCGGGCCTTATGTCATGGAGCCGCTGCTGAGATTAACTGCCTGCATACCATCGTGAAGGAGGCAGAGGATGTTTACAAACTTAATAGACATTTTCAGTAGCATCTTAAACAAGATATCACGGTTGACAGAATCGAAGGCTTTGGTCAGATCAAAGAAGGCCATGTAGAGAGGATGATGTTGTTCACGGCACTTCTCTTGCACTAATCGAGCAGAAAAGATCATGTCAGCAATACTTCAGCTTTGTCTGAAACTGCATTGGGACTCGGGAAGCAATTCTTTAGCGAGACCGCGGAGACAATTGAGTAGGAGCCTGGCGAATATTTTGCAAGCGGCATGGAGCGCAAAGCCTTTGGAGTTACCGCAGTCGGTTTCATTGCCATTGAAGATGATTACAATGATGGTATCTCTCAACACACTGGGTGTATCTTCCCCATGCAAGGTCATCAAAATGACGGCATGGAGCCTATGCTCTAGGACAGCACCACCATGCTTGTAAATTTCAGCAGGAATCTCATCCGGGCCAGTAGCCTTGTTCTCCTTCGTTTGCTTAATGGCTATCTTTAACTCAAGCAGCATAGGCTCACAGGGTAGTTCAACAAAGGCAGATCGCTATGGGTGTCGGTGAAAACACTCTGATCACCGACAGCTTCACGGTTGAACAGGTTGCTGAAGTGCTCTTACCAACGAGCGTTTGTTGCCTCCTTGTCTCACCACTGGAGGTGTTGTGATTGTAATCATTAATAAAATATGGATACAGTTAAAAAATATAGTGAACATTTATGTAAAATATGTGAATGTTGATGCAATTCATGGAAATGTAATTTAATGTGTGTTTGAGTGTAATTAAGAATAAGAGTGTTGAGTGGGATGAATAATGATTGTGATAAAAATTTATTTATTAATCATTAATATTAGTGTGTGTGTGTGATTATGTGTATGTAATTATTATGCGATTATTTAACGTTATTATAATAGTTATTATTGGCACTCTCGTTGTCTAGGGGTATGTATTACCAATCGTGATAATACAATGAAATTCGCTTTAACATTTTCTGATTCTCGATTTAACACTTACGTGTGTAATTATGTCGAGTCTCAGTATTTAAATATCGCCACAGGATACAGTTCTCGTAATTAACACGATGCATGAGCGAGGAAAGAAGCACTTGGAAACTTATTTGATCCAAACAACTTTAATATCAACTTATTCTAACATCCAAAAACACTCAATATCAGAATAAGCAACAACGGTACCCATGCAAATATACGTACTCATCAATCCGTACTGAATTATCATAAAATAATAAATGGTCAAATCTCACGATCACATGATTAAAACAGAACAATAGGAAGAAACCTCAAAATGGCAAAATATTCGTACGTAAAATGCGTGCTCATAAAATGCGCATCAAATGGTTCGATAGCTAACATGCTAACCTGCAAACAACAGTATTCATTTAAGCATATGTGTTCATAAAAAAAATCTTATCAAATGGTTATAAGAACATCAACGATCGACTTTGCAAGATTATGCGATTAACATAAAACAAACAGTTGATATTTTCAAATGATAGTATTCATACCGATAGCGATATGCGTGACTTGGATGTGTATATCAGGGTGGCAATCATGGAAAAGTTCCACCAGTTATGATGTATAGTGTGATGTGAGTTCGTTCACGTGTGATCACTGCATAAGGTGGCGTCACCAATTTTAAGCTGTGTGGTCACATAATGGGTGCGTGTACTAGTCGGTGTTCATCTTCTAGCTTCTCTGTACCAGAAAATACCTCAAGTGCCACACGGGAGCGTTGATTACTAGGCACGACCCGCAGCTGGAGTGTGCTGCGGACACGCGGTTTTCTGTCCACTCAGGGGTGTCTACCCGTCAGGGTTGGTCCACAGCTGGAGTGCGCTCGCGACTCTCGAGAAAGCACGCTGCCAGTTCGCCGTGGGCTGCTGTGCCACACGCTGGCAGGTGGTCTGCACGCCAGGCTCGATCTGCTGAGTGCTCTGTGGCCACGCTAGCCCAGCCCTTGCAGCTCGTCAGCAGAGCGGCTGCACGTCGCGGCACTTGCTCCTGCATGCTGCAAGTCTGTAACCAGCAGCCTGGAGCGTGCCACCCCTTCCCCCGGGAGGTCTCCCGCTGTGGAGCAGCCTACATGTCTCGCTCTCTCTCTCTGCTCACTCGAACACGCTCCTCTCCACACTGGCTCGACCATCAACTATAGCTTCTGTTCACACTCGATATTGGTGTATAACTCAATTCTCCACTTAACTTCTCCCACGTCTTAGCTTATCACAGTATACTATGAGCACGCAAAAATGTCTTTACTTAACTAGCTGTAGACTATGCCTACGCACCGCAGACTACGTACCAGGACATCAGACGATGATGACGAAGATCTCATCCCGCAAACAGCTCCGGAGGAGGGAGGTGAAGCGTTGTCGGCAGAGCAGAGCACCGACTGGCCGCGTGACTGCTCCACGCCGACAGGGAAGTTTCTCCAGGCTGCACACGGCCACCTCTTGGAGCTTCTCCACGCGGCCTCCATCCTTGCGGAGCTCCACATCGCGGAGCCAGCGGGGGAAGCAGGAGCAATGGAGCCACGTGGCGACGGAGTTCCCGCCACTATTTCCCGCCAAGCGGGTACCTCCGCGGTGCAGCCTGCGCTGGCAGCCGCCATCTTCTCGGAGCAGCGGAGCACGAGACCCGCCAAATCCGAAGTTGCGTCGAAATCGCCGGTGGACATTCCATCTCTTCGGCATCGACTTCCCTTCATAAAATAATTTACAGCCGCCAGGGGTGACTGGGTGGCCTTCAAGTGGCGGTTCCTGACGAACGCCGACTTGGTGGGGTGGACAGAGGCGGAGGCGCTGAGAGCGCTGCCCGCCACCCTTGACAACGTTGCCCTGGCGGCGTTCCTTATCATCCCGCCGTCCGGGAGGGCCACGTTGACGCAAGCCTTCGACCAGATGGCGGCTATTTATGAGCTGCCATCCAACATGCGCCACAAGTTCACTACTCGAAAGATAGGGGATACCGAGACGCCCCTTGCCTTCTGTAGCGCACTTTTGGCGCTTGCAAAGGCTGCCTTTCCAAGGATCGACCACGACGGAGTCGACTCGTTTGTCCTTGAGAGACTGCTGGCTTTGGCGAAGGACCTCAGCATAATTCTGCCATCAAGGTGCATTCAGGCTCACCAGCTCCTGCAATGGCGCAAGGGGTTGGTAGCATGTTCCGCGTCCCAAGAAGGGCCAGATACACCTGACGAAGTGGAGCCCATCCCAGCCTGCGCATCGACCTAGAGTGGAGGCGGGCGAGAGGAAGGCATGGTGTGGCAGGTGGATGACCAGCGATGGCGGAAGACATCTCCTCGTCCCGGGAGCAGCCCCGTCGTGTGCTATAGCTGCGGCCTGCCGGGACACGTCTCGTCAGGCTGCCGCGTACCACGATGACGCCTCCTCGAACCACCGTCGTCATCCGCCCGACCGTCCTTCGCTCCACTGCAACCTACGGCGAGTCGCGACACGTTCCACACTCAGCCCCTGAATCCACCTCACCCATCTCATGCGTTCGGGATTCGTTCCGGTCGAGCGTTGGGGCGGGAGGATCCTCATGTTAATTGGGCCGGCCGGACGCTCCAACCGGGTCAGTGGTCGGAGTTGGCCCATCGAGTGGTGGCCGCGACTGCAGGTTCGTCCGCTGTTATTGGACGGATAGAACGGGTGGAAATTAGGATGCTCGTTGATACCGGTACATCAGCGACCATAATTTCAGAATTGATTATAACATCTTTCCCCCTAAATGTCCACCTCTGTCATTCTTAAAGGCAGATTGCTCATGCATTGGGATGGATGGTTGTGCCGATACATCATTGTGTCCTCTACCCTGCGGGGCAAGGTCATTTGAGCGGTGCACGAGCACTTGTTGCACCTAGGTGTGCATAAGAAGCTGGCCACACTCAAGTTGGACTTCTTCTGGCCTGGCATGGCTGAGGATGTCGCTAATTTGTTCAAATGGTGTGGGCAGTGTGTGCAGCGGAAGCCGACGGCAAAACCCTGTTGTGCACCATTACAATCGATTCAGGTTTCGCAGGTGAACAAATTCGTTGAGCTTGACATCCTTGGTCCATTTCCCACTACCCCTCGTGGGAATAAGTACTTGCTGGTGGGAGTCGAATATTTTTAATGATGGCCTGTGGCCTGGCTGCTCCCCAACCAGTCATCGGCGACGATCACTGAAGCATTCCTCAATGGCTATGTGATGGACAAGGGCGCTCCTGAACGTCGTCTGACTGATCAGGGCAAAAATTTATCCTCAACTATGTTGCGGGAGGTGTGCGATTTGCTGGGAACGAAGAAGGTAGGCACGTGACCGTACCACCCGCAGACGAGCGAGTTCCAACTCGACTGAGATTTACACATTTCCGGAGTCCTAACTGCATATAGGATGGCCCCTCACGCATCCACCGGCTACTCACCTTTTTTAAAGTACGGGAGAGAACACGACCCCCTGATTGATATTCAGTTGCAGGCCGTGCCCAACAATGCTAAATCCAAAATTTCTGACTGTGCGTTTCACCCTTCAGAAGCTTTCTGAAGGGCGGGAAGCGTCTAGGGTTAATTCTGATCTGCGCCAATTAGCTAATGAGCGACTGAGGGGTTCCGGTGTTTCTACACATGAGTGGGCATCTGGAGACAGAGCCTGGTTGCACTGTCCACAGGTAACGGTGGGTACATCGCCCAAATTGTTCAAACCTTGCAGAGGGCTGGTTGATGTGATTCGGGTCGTTCGGCCACAGTGTGTCCAGATCCGCTTGTGGCGGCGGAGTTTTTTTGTGCATCCCTCGTACCTCAAGCATTTTATTGCGCCGCGAGAATTCATTCTATCTCCACACCACAGGGGCCGATTGTCAGATGTGTCTGGCGAGCTGAGGTGCGTGCTCGCTGAGGGTGGTCCTCAGGGGAGTAGTGTGATCCTGTCCCCAGGTGCCGCGTGCCTGACATCCCCAGCACCGCCGCCTGCGTCGTCTCCACTGGACTCCAGAGAGGGGCAGCCATTGACCCGGCCTACTGCTCTTCGTGAGGAGCTGGGCTCGATGGGACAATTGCATATTCACCCTGGGACCTCCAGGGAGAGCGAGTCCACCACCCCTGGAGGCCCGGCCACGAGAACTAATTCTAAAACTCTTCGGGTTTTGTGATCCCCACGTACACACACTCCCACACCGTCAGTTGGTTGTCGCACTCTGTAAGCCGTATCGGTTATTGCCTATACCTAACCCTTATTTTGCTTGCGGGTGTTGTTACTTGGATGTTAGTGATGAAGGGGATTCCGAGTGTTCGTGTTTTACTGCTCTGTTTTTTCTCTCGTGTTGTTCTGTACTTACACTCTTTTTTCCCATTGTTAATGTACATTTGCAGATAGTGTAGATATTATATAGGTGGGTTTGGGTATTTCATTGGAAATTGTTATTGTTATTTGTTGACGCACACATAACGTTATTAACTTTTTTGACTCACTTTATCACCTTACTCACTTAGTTCGTTTTAAGGGGGAGTTGACAACCGGGATGGCTGACTACTATGAAGGGGGGGGGGGGGTGATGTAGTGACATTGCGGATGTCACTGTATGGTGCCGGCCCTAGAGGGCCACGGCGTGTGATGTACTCACATCGCGGACATCACGTACAGTGAGGGAAAAAAAGTATTTGATCCCCTGCTGATTTTGTACGTTTGCCCACTGACAAAGAAATGATCAGTCTATAATTTTTATGGTAGATTTATTTTAATAGTGAGAGACAGAATAACAAAAAAATCCAGGAAAACCCATGTCAAAAATGTTATAAATGTATTGCATTTAAATGAGGGAAATAAGTATTTGACCCCTCTGCAAAACATGACTGAGTACTTGGTGGCAAAACCCTTGTTGGCAATCACAGAGGTCAGACGTTTCTTGCAGTTGGCCACCATGTTTGCACACATCTCAGGAGGGATTTTGTCCCACTCCTCTTTGCAGATCTTCTCCAAGTCATTAAGATTTCGAGGCTGACGTTCAGCTCCCTCTACAGATTTTCTATGGAGTAAGGTCTGGAGACTGGCTAGGCCACTCCAGGACCTTAATGTGCTTCTTCTTGAGCCACTCCTTTGTTGCCTTGGCCGTGTGTTTTGGGTCATTGTCATGCTGGAATACCCATCCACGACCCATTTTCAATGCCCTGGCTGAGTGAAGGAGGTTCTCCCCCAAGATTTGACGGTACATGGGCCCCGTCCATCGTCCCTGTGATGCGGTGAAGTTGTCCTGTCCCCTTAGCAGAAAAACACCCCCAAAGCATAATGTTTCCACCTCCATGTTTGACGGTGGGGATGGTGTTCTTGGGGTCATAAGCAGCATTCCTCCTCCTCTAAACACGGCGAGTTGAGTTGATGCCAAAGAGCTCCATTTTGGTCTCATCTAACCACAACGGGCGCTGCAGGATTTCAGTCCTTTATGGCGTAGTGTGTTACCAACTGTTTTTTTTGGTGACTATGGTCCCCGCTGCCTTGAGATCATTGACAAGATCTTCCCGTGTAGTTCTGGGCTGATTACTCACCGTTCTCATGATCATTGCAACTCCACGAGGTGAGATCTTGCATGGAGCCCCAGGCCGAGGGAGATTGACAGTTCTTTTGTGTTTCTTCCATTTGCGAATAATCGCACCAACTGTTGTCACCTTCTCACCAAGCTGCTTGGCGATGGTCTTGTAGCCCATTCCAGCCTTGTGTTAGTCTACCATCTTGTCCCTGACATCCTTGGCCATGGTGGAGAGTTTGGAATCTGATTGATTTATTGCTTGTGAACAGGTGTCTTTTATACAGGTAAAAAGCTGAGATTAGGAGCACTCCCTTTGAGAGTGTGCTCCTAATCTCAGCTCGTTACCTGTATAAAAGACACTTGGGAACCAGAAATCGTTCTGATTGAGAGGGGGTCAAATACTTATTTACCTCATTAAAATGCAAATCAATTTATAACATTTTTGACATGCGTTTTTCTGGATTTTTTTGTTGTTATTCTGTCTCTCACTGTTCAAATAAAGCTACCATTAAAATTATAGACTGATCATTTATTTATGAGCTGCATAGCGCATTGGCGTGCAGTGCTGACTCCTATAGGAGGGAGTGTGAGAGTGTCAGCCAAGGGATGAGGTTACCCTCGGCCATGGCACTCTGGTTGACCCTGGAAGGCACGTGACCAGTAAGATCTACACAAGGACCCCAGGTGGGGGCTTGGAAGTGGTCACGTCAGGGTGAGATCCTACGGCAAGGGTTGAGACACCTGCAAGAGGGTTTTCGAAGGTAGTCGTGGCCAAGGGCGGGGCCAGGCACGACCCAGCAGGGTTCCGCACAGGGGACCGGGGTTCAGCATTGCTGCCGTCATCTGAAGATCTATGATCTACGTTCTACGTCCAAGAAGAAGTCACCAACACGTGGACAAGGACCCCAGCTAGGGTCCTGTCCGTTGTAGCTACTCCTAGTAACTAGTGTAGTTAGCCTGGTGGTCCAATGCCATAGGTTATCTGGTAAAGGGGCAGTAATCCCTTGTTGTTATATCTATATATATATAAAATCGTGAATCTGTCTGTCTATCTGTCTGTCTGTGTGTCTGTGTGTCGCCGGACCATACGCAGTTTCATTGGACGGCGGTTGCCCCTGGCAACGGGTAGCGACGCATTCGCCGCTTTCATTGGACGGCGGTTGCCCCTGGCAACGGGTAGCGCTTTGCCGTGGGGTGGACGCCATTTTTAATTCTCGTTAAAAATAGGCGCACGCATTAACACGCGACTCTGAGGTAAATTCATCAAAGTTTCACGTCCTCTTCACTCCCCCCACCACAATGTGTGCAATTACTATTATAGGGTCGGTAGATTATAAAATTATAGCCATTAGACAGTATTATTGTAGCGCGGGGGGGGGGGGGAGAACGGCACCCGTACCCAGCATCAGCCGGGTGGGAAAATCAGGCGAGGCCGGAGGCTCTGCACGCTGCTAGGCCTCGACACCCACCACGCGATTTTGAGGTAAATTCATCAAAGTTACACGTCCTCTTCACTCCCCCGCCACCCCAATGTGTGCAATTACTATTATAGGCTCGGTAAATCATAAAATTATAGCGATTACACAGTATTATTGTATCGCGGGGGATCGGCGCGCCTCACTAAAACCCTAC